GGGAGAGGGGGGGGCGGGGTGGCAGAGGGGACAGCGGGGTGGCACAGGGGACAGCGGGGGTGGCACAGGGGACCGTGAGTGGGGACAGCGAGGTGGCACAGGGGACAGCGAGTGGGGACAGTGGGGATGGCAGGAGGGGACAGCAGGGGTGGCAGAGGGGACAGTGAGTGAGGACAGCGGGGGTGGCAGAAGGGACAGCAAGTGGGGACAGTGGGGTGGCACAGGGGACAGTGGGGGTGGGCAGCAGGGATGGCCAGTGGGGACAGAGGGGAAGGGGCACGGGGACTTGGGGACAGCAGGGACAGTGGGGATGGCAGCACAAGGGGCTGGGACAGCAGGGAGGGGACACAGGGACATGGGGACACTTTGAAGGGGACACCAGAGTGTCCTGGGACAAAGCGTGGCAGCGTCACCGTGGTGGGACAGGGGCTGATGGCAGCGGTGGCCTTTGTCCCCAAGCATGGGGTGAAACACGGTGGTGTCACCAGGGTGGGACAGACCCTGACCGTGGTGGTCTTTGTCCCCAAGCATGGGGTGACACTGTTTTGGGGTGAAACACAGCAGTGTCACCACGATGGGACAGGTGGTGACAGAGGTGGTGGCCTTGGTCCCCAGCTGATCCTGTTCGGGCTCAGCAACCAGCTGGTGGTGGCCTTCAAGGAGGACAACACGGTGGCCTTCAAGCACCTGTTCCTCAAGGGCTACGAGGACGGCACCGATGACACCCAGGCCATCTACACCCGCGGGGACCTCCTGGAGCACCTGGACTTCGTCCTTGAGAAGGTGGCACGGGGACACCAGGAGGGCTTGGGGACATCGGAGGAGTTGGGGACACGGTGGTGGTGTGGGGACACTGAGGTGGTCTGGGGACACTGAGGTGGTCTGGGGACACTGGGGTGCCCCAGTGCCACCTCCAGCCTTGGTGGTTCTGTCCCCGCAGTACCTGGCTGTCCCCAATGAGACCCTGGGCCACCACGTTGCGGGGACACAGAGATGTTTTGGGGTCACAGAGATGTTTTGGGGTCACAGAGATGTTTTAAGGCCATGGAGATGGTTTAGAACCATGGAGATGTTTTGGGGCCATGGAGATGGTTTAGGACCATGGTGATGATTGGAGCCAGGGAGATGTTTTGGGATCATGGAGATGTTTTGAGGTCATGGGGATGTCTTGGGGTCACAGAGATGTTTTGGGATCATGGAAATGTTTTGGGGCCATGGAGATGTTTTGGGATGATGGAGATGTTTTATGGCCATGGGGATGTTTGGGGCCATCAAGATGCCACCCCAGCCCCGTGTCCCTGTCCCCCAGTACCTGGCTGTCCCCAACAGGACCCTGGGCCACCACGTTGTGGGGACACAGATGTTTTGGGGTCACAGAGATGTTTGAAGGCCATGGTGATGTTTGGGACCATGGAGATGTTTTATGGCCATGGGGATGTTTGGGGCCATCAAGGTGCCACCCCAGCCCCGTGTCCCTGTCCCGCAGTACCTGGCTGTCCCCAACGAGACCCTGGGCCGCTACGCCTACGGTGGCACCGGGAGTGGCGCCGGGCTCCGGCTGTGCCAGCGCTTCTTCCGCAGGGGGGACATCGACCCCGGCAACGACACCTTCGACATCGACCCCAGCGTGGTCACCGGTGGGGTGTGGGCTTGGGGTTGGGGTTTGCAGTTTGGGGTTGGGAGTTGGGTTTGGGATTTTGGATTGGATTTGGGGTTTGGGATTTGGGGTTCGGGTTTGGGTTTGGGGTTCGGGTTTGGGAGTTGGGGTTGGGCTTTGGGTTTGGG